GCTGAAACATGCATATAATTGCTCACCATAACCCCAAGACCTTTATTCTGAACCATTTCTAATGAGGGGGTAGCTTTGGAAAAGTATAGAGAAATTTGGTTTTAGCCATTTCACTCTTCAGTCATTAATAGATGCATACGTTATAGATATAGCAAAGAGGTATGGTGGGGGTGAGAAGAATCACTTTGAAGGATAATTTGAAATGGAGAAATGAGGGGAGAGGACAAAGATTTAACAGCTTGTATCCTGCATCTTTTCCAATCCTTGGTCTTCACCTTAAAGTTACCCACATTGAGAGACACTTCCAGAGACTGAAACAGCTGCCCTTCTATGATACATTTGCATCAGAATATCAAAAGGGACAGGAGCGAAGGAAGGCAGTACTTAGGCAGGGATTGGATTCCAATTGAAGGCCATATTTTTTGTTGGAGGTTGTTTTGTTTTGTTTGTTTTGTTTTGTGTTGTTTGTTTTGTTTTGTTTTTAGAGGAAGCCTGACATTTTTGCTCTCTGGGCAGCAAAGGAGCATGGGATCTTGCCAGAAAGCCACTCAGTGGCCAACTAATAACTGCTTCGTTTGGATTTGCTTTCCATGCAAATCTGTCAGTTACCACATTTCATAAGAGGGAGGAGACACTTCTGGACAGAAGCCTGTATGTGGTTCAGGGAGGAAGCTCTAAACAGGCCAGGAAGAATGGCTTTTCTCTGAGCAGAAGGGATTGTTTTGTGCTCATTGTGCTTTTTTGTTTGTTTTAATTAATTTATGTTATCAGATGAAACTTAAATAACTTAACACAGATTTAGTAGGCAGAGGTTTAGGGAAGGGAGCCAGAGCGTTACAAAAACTTTTAATCACAATCACATGAGTCTTATAAATATTTGCAGTCACACAGCGCATCAAAGCCCAGCCTATGACTGCTGTAAGTAAGGTTCAGCAAAGAGGGAGGGAAGAGAAGGGAAGGGAAGGAAAGGAAAGGAAAGGAAAGGAAGAAGGAAGTTTATTACTCACTTTTACAGGGATTTGATTGCTCCTGTTAGCACATGTGAATGAGAGAGACTGAGCAAATCAGTAAAGGCAGTCCTGGATAGTCTGCCTTTTCTTCCAAATAAGAAAAGTTGTTTATGTCTCCTTGCAACAGGAAATGTATTGAATTAGTTCCACTCATTTAGGATAACATATCAAAGAAAGTTTAATGTATCTGGCTCTCTTGAGAAGAAAAGAAAAAAAAAAGATGCATTTAAAGCTGAAATGGAGCAGATTTTCAACTATGGTTATTCCGGTGAAATGGACAAATTTCTAAAGGTTTTCCAAACTTCTGTGAATGTAACACTTTACAGTGTATTGTAAATGAAAAAGAAGTGGCAGAAGACTACTTCTGGTCTAAAGAATAAGGATCAGTAAACTTAGTTTGAAAAGACCCCCTTCCTTTGGCTCCATGGGGGTAGAAGGCCAAGGAGTGCCTGAAGCCATATAAACATGCTACTCCATCAGCAAGCAGGCTGCTGATAGATTATGACTACCTAGGTGGCCCACTGTCCCTGGCCCTCAATCTTCAACTCTGCCCCTTGTTTCAAGAGCTTGACTGAGTCTTGGGCCTTTCTGATCTGAACTATTACAGTTCAGAAAGGATAATTTACATTGGGAAGGAGAATGTAACTTTAAGTATGATTTCTATGAAGTACCCAGAATTATAACCTGGGACTGGACGGTAACCCAAGAATTCTCTTTTCAATTGCACAAATTGTTTCGTAGAAATCTCAGTTTTTCAGTTTTGTCTCAATGAGTTGAAATGATTAGCTGAGCTTTTGGATAAAATTGCTTATTAATCTTGTGGATGTGGTACTAACCATCTGGCTTTCAGTTTGACCTTGACAAGGACTAAGAAAATCCAATAGGATTTCTTTTTTCTTTGGATAATGACGACTTGCTGGGGGACATCACCAACTGATGATGATCAATGCAGTGACAACCTATTCAATAACACCTGGATAGGTAAAGGAAAAACTCAAATTCTCAGTGGAACCAATATAAGCACCCCTACCTTGGCAACTCTAAGATGTTTGGACTTCAGAGCCCAAAATTCCTCAGCCAGTATGGAGAATTCTGGAAGTCCATACATCTTAAAGTTAAGAAGTGTGAAAAGCACTGTTTTATGTTAATCTAATAAATAATAATCCTCAGCTTTTGGACTTTTTAAGAAAATGGGGAAATATAGCTTAGAAACCAATTCTGTAAGTATTATGAGTTCATATTTAATAAAGATAAAAGGGTTGTTTTAGACAGATTCCCCCACTCAGTAGCTCTCCAGATACATGAAATTAAATTGCCATTGTCTCCAGCCAGCATTACCCATTCCTAAGAAATCACTCAGAACAAGCAGAGTTTAATCCTTTTAATAGATTCTTAACAGTAAGGATCTTTGCTACACAAATATCTTTTTGGCACTTGAATGAATAAGCTCATCAATCATAAGGCAGTACAGAAATCACTTGAATAGTACCCGGCTATGGATAATGTGATTGATTGATTTCAGTAAATGTCTTTTCTTTAAATGATTGATATTTTCTGCCCTAAACAGTAATTGAAAATACCTGATTTTCTGATAGATTTTTAATCTAAGGTTTTCAATTTCGACCACAGAAATGTGTCCGTGTAATGAAATTTCACATATCATTATAAACTGACATATAATAATTATACTGCTAATTATGTAGTTCATAATAATTTATACTTTCAGTATTTGTATCAATATGTTATTTACTTGGCAGGAGTTTTTTTTTTACAGATTGAAGACCCTAAGCATATGTATGCTTTGCTGGTAACTTCTGTGTTTATTTTGAAAAGCTCAACCTCTAATATGGGAACTTTGCAATATTCTGTTAAGGAATACTTTATTGGCTAATCCTAAATTTGTTATATAGTAAACAGTGATGTAAAATAAGACGTGCAAATAAATGCTACAAAACAGCATCAAAGAAGATGATTTGAAAAGTGGCATTGATCTGTTTAGGCACCAGGATTTGTAACTGGGGCTGAGCCTTTTCAGCACTGCTCTCTGATAACTTTGCTTCAAATGAATCTGAGAACCTCTCTTTGGGGTATCAGGATGCTATACCTGCTTTTACATCTAAAGTTATTTATATTTATATATTTTTTTTAAAAGAATAAACTATTTAGTGGGTATGACTGTGGCTGAACTGCTTCCTTTTCTTGAGTGTTTTCAAATCTGAAAGTGTTATTCAGGGATGGTTCACCGCTTTCCAAGTGGTGAAAGCTGTGGTCAGTATAAGCTATGAAGATTTTGAAGTCCACATTGTTGCCTCAGTTGGCACTTTCTCACTACACAATAACCACAGCATGGTTTGCTGAGCTAGGCTGTGCATGAACATGCATTCATGGTTTAGAAATAGTTATTCTGTGGGCAGTTAATTGCCAAATGTGTAGCCAAGTTTTTTTATGGGCTTACAACTCATCAGCTGTTGTGGCATATTACCCTGATGCTTTAGTTAGTATTTCAAGGGGCTGCCCAACAGGTAGTAGGGTAGTCGAAAAATAAAACTATCCTTGCAACTCCTACTCTCCTGCTTTGATTACTTGTCTACAGAGGCACATGGGATTAATTTTTAAAAGCAAAGCAGAAAGGGAGAATGATTAGTATTTCTCCAACTCACCCATACTGAATACCATATACCTATGGCTAATTATAAAAGAGAAACTGGATATGATTGTGAATATGGTGGGGGTGTTGCTTCACTCACCCCCACCAAATCAGTTGGGATACCTGCTCTCAGTTGCCCCACAACTACTGCTGTTGAAGTACAGAGAAGCATTTTTTTACATCTTTGTTTGCAGTATTGCATTAGATTTGTCCTACCTGTCAATGAATACTTCAGCTTCAACCATAACAATACAAGAGCACACAATAGATACAAATTCAAGGTAAAATGCACCAAACTTGATTGCAGGAAATACGACTTCAGCAACAGAGTGGTCAATGTCTGGAATATTCTACCTGCCTCTGTGGTTTCTTCCCCTAACCCCCAAAACTTTAACCTTAGACTGTCTACTATTGACCTCACCCCTTTCCTAAGAGGTCTGTAGGGGGCGTGCATAAACGCACCAATGTGCCTACTGTCCCTGTCCTATTGTTTCTTTTTATTTTTCTTGTATGTATCTATTTCATGTATTCATAACTATGTTTATACTTATACCTATTGTCTTATAATCGCTTGACAAAATAAAATAAAAATAAAATGTAGAGCTACTGAACTTCCAAACAACACTGGCTAGCTTATATCACAAAAATAAGAAACAAAATAAAGAAAAATAAACTTCTATCTGGAAAAACAGATTAACACTTAGAAAAGAAACTAAGAAACTTAACAGAGGCTTGACAATTCCCCTAACCCCAGGCTTGGGAACAAAGCCAGGTTCTCAAAAGATTAGTGCAACTGTTGTAGGTTAGGAAACAAACAGCTCTCCAGGGGGATACTGTACATAGGTTCTCCCACTTATGGTTAGTTCTAATGCAAATGGGATCACTTATTCTGAGTTTGGCTGGGGAATCTGGTAGATTTAATCCCAGAATGTTTCCGGGCTGCCTAACTGAGGCAGGTTGAGCTTTCCTGTTTGAAATCGCCATTGCAAACTAATAGCTACTGGTTTTTAGCTCCACTGTGGAACTATTTGGGTCATTTTTAAAAATATAATTATCATAAGAATGTCTCAATTTTATAATACTTGGTCGCTTTCAAGAATAGAGTTAAATGCATGCCCTGAAATAAACTTGGGCATGTTCTTTTCTGATCACTATTAATCTGCTGTTTCTGTAACCAAACACATATGTTTGTTTATCCAGTTAAACAGTAATGATATCAAAATTGATTGCTGGAAGTTGTATCATCCTACAGACATTTCCGTCAGTGTTTCTGAGGTCTGTCTTATGTTGCAGCCTTTAAGGGGAAAAAAAAGCAATGTCTTTATAATTTTAATTTCTTGCAGATTTCATCTCAACAAGCAATCAAAACCCATACTTTAGAAGAGTGAGATTTGATGTCTCAGCGATGGAGAAAAATGCTTCCAACTTAGTGAAAGCAGAATTTAGAGTCTTCCGCTTACAGAATCCGAAAGCTCGTGTATCAGAACAACGGATAGAACTGTATCAGGTAAAGTTTTGATTGTTGCTGTCCTTATATGTTTTTTTTTTAAATATGCAACATTTTTCTATAGCACATTTAGACACTGTAATGTTAAATAGATAGTAATATTCATTCTCTCTTCTTTGGACACTTTGGGCAGTGTAGTTTATGAGAAGAGATCTCAGGCATTGCAACAGAGAAATCTCATTCTTTAAATTTACATTTCCCAGGATTGCATAAAGAAAAAATAACAATATAAAGTTAACTTTAAAATGTACATTATACATAAATATACTTAAACACCTGCTTTTGAAAGGCACGTATTAATTTAAGATAGTTTAGTATCTTTATTAGAAGCTTATTGAAAACCATTTTAAATATATATACGAAGAAAGGTTTACTGTAATGAATTATTGTAATTGCATCTTTTGCTTCTGATCCTTCTTTTTTAGATTTTCCATGTGAGTCAGGGAGAAGTAAATTTTCCAGGCCAAAAGCCATGTTGCAGACATCATTCCAAAAAACAGAAATGAGACTAGGACAAAAAAATAAAACTGATTTCATTTCATTTGCACTTAATTAAAATTGCACGTAGATAACATGATTAATCTGCAATTGTCTGTTTAATAATTCTTCTCTTTTGCTACATTAAAAATTACAAATCTGTTATTGTACACACCTTTTGCAACTGTCTGGGGGTTGTACCTCAGACTTTAGTGACTGGTGGTTCCTGTTTAAATTAAACGGTGGTTCTGCTAAGGAGGAAAATCAGAATCTGAAGCTACAACAGACAAGGTGTCAGTATTCTTATTTTACCAACAGGAAGAGAACATAATTTGTAACTTACTGGAATGATCCAAGCAATATTTTTTTGTTGTTCCTGTTGCCACAATGAGATTTAGGGCTAAAAAATAATAAATACACATGGAATATGATATATATTGTCATTCACAAGGGTTGTCTAGATACACTTTGCTCACTGTGTCATACTGTTTCTAACATATATAAACATGTTTATCATTACAGTGTTTCAGTTATGTCCTCTGCATAATTTCCTAGAAGCAAATCCAGTTCAGCACAGTGCAACTTATTCTCAAATAAATCAAGCCCAAGATTGCAGCTTTACTTTGCAAAAAAAAAAATATGACAGTCCTGGGTGGAGTCCTTCTCATCCTCAGTGACCCCACCTGACCTCATTTGTCTTAGTTCAATTGATGCTGTTTTGTGTTCCATGGAATTAAAGCCAGGAGCTTGCTTTATTTTGTTTCTAACTGTTCAGTGCCAGCAAGCTCTTTTTATGCTCTTTTTAATTCACTTGCAACTTCATATGTAATCCAGTTAAATCAACTTGCTCAGATTTAAAGCCAGTCAGTTCCACTGAAGCCAGGGGCACCAATCTGGTATACATCTTGCATTTTCAAGTAATCTAGGCTAAGGTGTTTTTTTTTAAAAAACAAACAAACTTTATTCTTCCTTTTTTTTAGTCATCTGGCAAATTTGTCTAAAGTTAAGCCTTGACATGAATTCTTAACATTAAGATCCAACCTTAATAGGTTTTCACTTTTTAACTTATTTTTGCTACTGAGTTAGATTTATAGATTGCCAAATCCAAAGACTAACATAGGCAGGTTACAAAGTTAAAAATACAATATGAAACTACTTTGATAAACACAGCACATTGAGGATAAAAATATGCTTAGATACTAATAAGACTATAAAACTTCTGTACTGCACCACTCAGTTGGAAAGTTTAGTTTAGTTTGTGATTGCACTTCGTACAATGAAATCAAACACCATCTTCAGTGCACATCATGACCATGAAAATAAACATAAACACACATCCTTCAAACTCTACACATTGAATTGAAAACCCCGACACCACATCAACACTGCACTATACAGTAGAATTCAACAGAGCTACTACCCTGGGATAGAAGCTGTTTTTTGGAAAGCCATCAAGTTCAAGGGCTTTTCCCAATTTCATAGCTTGGATTGTCTCTTCAATTTCCTGTTATGGTTGTCCCAATTTCCTTTCATATTTTTGATGAATCTCTTCTGTTTAATTTGTACCCCAGTTTAGTAATTTGCTTTTCAGTTACAGATATGTCCAGTGAATATAAATGATTTTTTAAAAAACCCCATAAAAATAGTGTGGTCCAGTGATTAAATCACCAGATTACAAACCAGGAGGCTGAGTTCTAGTCAAGTCTTACGCAAAAAAGCCAGCTCCGTGACTTTAGATCAGTCATTCTCCCTCAGCCCAGTTCACTTCAGAGGGAAAAAGAGGAGGAGGAAGGAATACTAGGTGTGTTAGCTGTTAATTAGAGTCTTGAGTTATTATATCTTGAGGCTTGAGTCAATTTACAACCACAACTGAGCCCAAAATTTATGTTGCCAAGTAAGAAATTTGTTAAGTGATTTTTTTGCCCCGTTTTGCTTTTCTTGCCACATTTCTTACGTGAATCATCGCAGTTCTTAAATTATCAATATGTTTGTTAAATAAATCTGGTTTCATTTAGCCAGATTCTGATTTTGCTTGTTAGAAAGTTGCAAAACGGGATCTCATGACCCAGGGAAAATGCAACTGTCATAAATGTGAGTCAGTCTTCAAGCATCCAAATGTAAATCACATGACCATGCTGCAATGGTCATAAGTGTGAAAAATGGTCATAAGTCACTTTTTCAGTGCTGTTGTAACTTTGAATGGTTACTAAGCAAACCGTTGTAGTTGAGAACTACCTATATTTTAAAAAGACAGGATTTTTAATAATTTCTGGCTCAGCACTGTGACAGGCCATTCTTTGTCTGAATTGCCAATGAAGTTTTGCTGTTGTTTCTCAGTTGTTATTCCAATTCCAATTAACAGCTAAAACTACTTTAAAATCTTGGGGGGTGGGGGGGGGAAATAAAATGATTAAACAATTTCAAACATCCAGCATTTCTTCCTTTGCTTATAAAAATGGTTGCCAAATCCAGGATTTGCTGGAATTTAATCAGATAAAAGGTTGGATGTTGTGGGAATGTCTTTGAACACATGCCCTCAGTAGCATTTTTGTTGATTTCATGATATTTTTACTTTATTAAGAAACTTCTTGCATAGAAAGAAAAATAGGAAAATAAACTTTGGCACATTTCTAGTTTAGAAAGGGGCATTTGAAACAGAAATAGGCATTGTGGCATGGAAAGCAAGCAAAGAGCGGAAGTAGGGCGAAACATCCTCTGCTTTATTTTGAAAATGGTTGTAGCAGTTTTGTTTTTATGGTACATTAGTTACTATATATAATAGACATACACCATAGTCTATACAGACTATAAAACAAGCATAGGTTCAAGTGATTTCCCATGGAAACAATGTCATGTTTTGATAGCATATCAAGCATCATGAAAAATAGAGCCAAACTCCTGGGTTTTACTGCTGCTCTTATCAGAGACTTTAGCATACAGTACCTATATACTGGATAAGCTTTTGGAAGGAATGGAATATACTATAGCACATAGGAAAGGAGAAGGAAAACATTTCAGAGGACAGGTGCTGCAACAATCTATTGGGTCCCAACAGATGGTATTGTTTAATTAATAGATAAGACCAGAGGCATACTGATCTTACCAGATGGGCAGGAGCTATGGGAGATAGGAGAAAAGTCCAATGCCATGAACAGCTTTATAGACGATGGTCAACACTTTGAATTGCACCTGGAAGCCTAATAGCAAACAATGCAAGTCGAGAAGCAATAGCCTTGTATAAATGTACTGCGGCATTACCATCATTGCATGTGCTGTTACATTCTGGATCAACTGTAGCTTCCATATAGAACAAGAACAGTACCCTATAGAAATACATCTCTGTGATGGCTAAAGCTTGACTGAGAATCTAGACAGCCATCTGATTCAGAAACTGTCACAGCTGGCACATAGACAAAGGTGTGCAAAGGCCTTCTTGGTCACATGCTATTTATGCATTATTTTGAGTGAACCCAATGTAGAGTGTTCAAAGCAGAAATGAGGTAAGGTATTAAAATGTCTTCAAGATCTGAAGGTATCTTTTGGCTAACTGTTAAGATGGAGAACAATACTTTTATAATGAAATTCTTTTGTCCCAGTTTCAGTTTCTTTAAATCATTTGATCCCCATAAATTATTTTAGAATATGATTAATAAAAAATAACAGCTATCAATTGATTTCCCCTAGGGGAATCTGCTAATCCAAGTGGCTACACTGGAGGAAGTCTGGTGTAATATGGCAGCTTTACTGTGGGAAGTATCAGTGCTTATGTCAAAGAAACAAACCGGCTTATGCAAATAGCGACAGCTATTGTATTGTAGCCCATCCCATTTTTTTTTTCAATAAAAGCCTCATTGAACACTTAACTGTACACTTGTCTTCAGTTCTTTGCATGACTGCAGATGGGTACATCAAAATACACAGAATTCACAGTAATCATTTCTCAAACAAGCCAAAAATAAATTACATTTTCAATATTTTCACAGCTTAATACATTTTAACCTCTAGCAAGAAAAAAATCTTGGCAAAGATGACTTTTTGATAAAATATATTTGGCCCAGGAAGAAAGACAAACTTGGAGCACTGTTTTATCCTTGTGTAAGCTGTAGAGATTACAGACACTGAGGTGTGGTGCTTATAGCAGCCAAGATAAAGAACTGGCATTAAAATAAAGATGAAACATCAGAGAAATGATAGTGGTGCAAGGCCCATGGTAGCTTTTCCTTAGAATCCTAACATATTTTTCTCACAGACATGAAGGCTAGAATTTTTTCATTTTTCAACTATGATAGTTTTTACCATGAGAAGTATGAACAGAGGAAATTGAAGCCACTGTTAGGAGACTGTTATTATACTACGAACAATCAATATCCACTATAGTTGTGTTACCCCCATACAACCTATAAGCAGGGTTTATGTAGTGTGCCACATGTCCTTGTTATTTGCAATCTTGCATGATGAACGTGCTTGGCAAGATCACAGGAAGTGGATCACAGAACTATCGGCTTTAAAACATTTGGCAAGTCATATGTACCTTTTGTATTTTGGCAAGTGTGCTGTACCTCGTACAATAGCTTGTTAAGGTCCACACTCTGTTCTCAGTGCCTGCCAGATACAAAGCTGATTGAAGCCAAAAGAAAGACCCCGACTGCCTTCCGCTTCTGCAGAACTATTTCCCTTTGCAGCTACATAGCTTTAAGGAAGGCCAGCTGACAGAATAACATGACCTGCAGAATTTAGCAGGTGGCTGAGGTTGCCAACATCCTGCTGTCAAAAGTTATTCATGGGAAATATCCTGGAAACACTTTTCAGCAAACAGCCAACAACATTAATCACTTTCAAGCAAGCGCGAGAGAAGCAGGCATCTGTGCTAAGGCCACTGCTTAATATTTGGGCATAGTAAGAGGCAGAATGGTATGTTTATGATATTTATTATGTTATATACCTACTATGGTAATATTTAGTATGTTTATTAAACTGTCAAGTCGTCTTTCCTCTGGCAAATTAAAGAAACCCTGTATGGCCCTCTTCTCCATTTTATCTTCCCAGAGGATGGTGACTCCTCCCATTTTTTTCACTCTGACCTCACCATAATGAAAATAACATTTTTTAAAAAATACATTTATTTCCAAGGTTTTGTTTTTCATAATTGATTTCAAGAGACAGAGAAAGACGGCTGGAAGTAAATAAGAAGTCTTGTGATATGAGATAAGGGTAAGGAAAAATCCTGTAAACCCAAAGATTTTGAATGTGGTGAAATAACATTTTGAGGATGATCAAACTGTATCTTGAATAAAGAAATGGTTGAGTCATATTACCTGGATTCTTTTCAGGCCAACGTATAGCTCTGAGATGGCATTGGTAATGCTTGCCAATGACCTTTGGAGGGCTCCGGATGGGGATGGTGCAACCATCCTGGATCTCTCAGGAACTTTTGATCTCTCAGTGACTTTTGATACATTGATACCATGTTATCCTTCTGGACTAGCTCCAGGGGTTGGGAGCGGAAGGCAATAGTTTGCAGTGGCTCTCCTTCTTTCTCCATGGCTAGTTCCAGTTGATGTTGATGAGGGAGGAAAGTTCAAGCCTTAGGCCTTGCAATGTGCAGTGCCTCAGGACTTGACTTTTTCACCTCTCCTCTAACATCTACATGATTGCTAGATGAGGTTATCCAACAACATGGGGTACAGTATCATCAGTATGTTGATGATATGAAATTATTATTTTCTACTCTGGGCCAAGCAATTGATACTATTGTGGAGTTATTGAAATTCCTGGAACCCTGGCAAGATGGAGTGCCTTTGGGTTTTGGCCCCAAGGGGCCTGATCTTTGACTCTGGATGGGGTTCCACTTCTACAGACTGAGTGGATACACAATTTGAGTTTCCTCCTGGATGCATCGCTCCTGCTTGATGAGCAAGTGGCAGCCATGTCTAAGGGCAGGAGTCTTTGTACAGATTTGTGTTGTGCACCATTTGCACCCTCTCCTGGATCAGGAGACCTTGCTCAGTCACTCATGCCTTAGTTACCTCACACATGGATTATCACAAAGGTGTTTTTTCAAGAGGCAATTGGACTTCCTGGTTTTTCTTTGACGATGTTTTGCTTCTGAAAGAAAAACCAGAAAGTCCAGTTGCTTCTTGAAAAGCACCTTTGGGACAACCATGACCTGGATGACTCTCCATAGACATTCCACCTGGATTATTGCAATATGCTTTACATGGGGCTGCCCTCAAAGACCATTTGAAAGTTACAGTTGGTCTGGAAGACAACAGCTGCCATTAGATTTGCCCATGTAACATCTTAATTGACTGAGCTGCACTGGCTTCAGTTCTTTCAGATGCAATTCAAAGTCCTAGTTTAAAACCCCACATGGCAAAGAGTTAGACTATTTGTGGGACCACCTTTCCTTAAGAATATCTGCCCATCCCACTAGATCAGATGAGATGGGCATGTTCCAAGTCCCCTTCCTGAAATCTTGCCATCTAGCAGGACCTCAATAGCATGAGTTTTCTATGTCTACATGGAAGGAGGATAACTGAGCCTGCTATGGAGCATCCGAAGGAGGCAACTAAGGCACAGGGTTTTTGTTCATTGTTTTAATTGGCTTGATTTGTTTTATGGTTGTTGTAAGACATCCAGATTTGCTTAAGAGGTCATATAAAACTGTTAAATAAATAAATTTTAGTTGGTGAGAAGGGGTAAATCCATATATGTTTCAAAGATAAAATATTCTAGGAAAGTTTGGAAAAAGCAGATTGTAGTAGATGTAGTACAGGGAGTAGCTTGTGTTTGAGAGACATTTCAGTTTTCCTCCTAACATATCACCAGTGTGAATCACTTGACTGTAGTGACATCCCTCTTTAGCATCTGGATTTTAATTTAATTATTTTGCTTTGCCTGGGAAGACACAGCCCTAAGCATTTATGGCATGAGCAATGTTCCCAGAGAACAAGCTCCTTTGGAGCCCCGACATAAAACTATTTTGAACTTTAAAGCTCTCAATAGACTAGGGCCAGGTATGCAAAATATCTCCCTCATCCTATATGATGGCTTTCTTTAAAATCTTATTTGGAGAGCAAGCTTCAAGACCACTCACAGCTTGAAATTGATCATCCAGTCTATTTAGGGTGTGTCCAAATCTGCATTTATGTTGTAAAAATGCATCTTTTAGGGAAACTGAATATTTATGGAATTCATATGGCACTAGGAAATTGCTTCCCACCTGTGGCATTGTTTTTCTGAAGATGCTACTATCCAGTAGTTCAGAAACCTACAAATCAACTGAGTATACAAGAATTAAGAAACAATCAGTTATCCAGACTGGGATTTTACTGAGGACTAGCTTCTCATCTAGATAATGGAATTTCTCTAAGGTTTCCAGGAAACAAAAGTAAAATGAAGACTTAAAAGACAATTGAAAAAAAGGATGTATACCAAGTGAAAAGAAACAGACATATCAAATTATGAAAGGTCAGTTAGAAAAGGCTTGAAGACTATCCCAGAAGGATTAAGAACAGGAGAGAAAGGCAGTGAAAAGACAGAAAAAGGAAGAGAGAGAAAGTAAGAAGAAGTATTGTCTATCATTATCTTCTGAGGCAAATGGAGAAATGGTAATTCTCAGTGGTAAAAAAGCAGATTGTGTGTTCCTAAGCCACATTTAACATTCATTGGGCAGGCATTTGAGATGATGTACAAAGAAAGGCATCCGGCCAAGAAACACAAAAATGATTTGGGCAAAGTATATGCCTAGAAACAGCCTAAATGTAGGAAGCCATAATTATACTTTGATGAAAGCAAAATACTTGGATGTTTATTGTGAAAGACATTTCAAGAAAAGTTGAAGACTTATACTTGACAGGTGAACTGAGTTCTTGGTATTGTTAGTGTCTCAGTTGCAATTTATGCGTGTTGTCTGGATTGCGCTTGATGCAGGGAAAATTAGCTTAGTGCTTCTAGGAATATGTTTGCTTTAATCCATTCTGGTAATATCTGGAATGGGATATTTGTCCAGCCCATCAGTGTTGGATTTTTAATTGATTATGTGCCATCGAGTCATTTATGACTCCTAGCAACTAATTATACAGTATTTTCTAAGGGAGGAAAGATCTTGGTTTCATTTTAAAGTAGGTATAGGGTGTGTTAAATCTATATTAAACTCAATCTTTAAATGTTCATTTGGACACAATTTGGATTCCCATAATGCTATGAATATGAAACAAGCCTACTGAAGTCTGGATCAAACTCATAACACTGGGTTTCACACACTCATGCAGGAATGTAAAAAAAAAATCTGATCTATCCATTTTTCTCTAGTAAAGAAACACTACTAAACATTGCATTTGTTCACAAAAGGTACACTCAGGAATTAAAATCTTGAGAAAGATTTCTATCTGTCTTGCCTTGGTTTAAAATATTGTTAGGGTTACTTTAACATAAAGGAAAAGAACTGAATCATAAATAATTAGGTGAAAAAAGAATGACATCAGGAAATTTTCTTAAATGTATTTCAAGTTACGGTAAAGCAATAGAAGTTTGTGTAAAATCTCCATTTAAAGAAAAGAATCTCACTTGTGCAGTTGAGCTGTGTATCTCTACAAATTATTTCCATATTTTTTCTTGTAATTGTGTTGTGTAGTCAAAGCACTATGTCAGAATCTGTTTTCATGACATTGATCGGTAGGTAGATAGATTGATGGCACAATCTCTTGAGGTTTGTAGTTATTTTCTATATTCTGTTTTGAGTCCGCCTTAGCTGTTGTTGTTTTTTTTCAAATTAAATTGTGTGAATTCCATATCACTGATATAAATGTTCTTATTTTACAGATGATCAAAAATAAAGATCCCACATCACCAACACAACGTTATATTGATAGCAAAGTCGTGAAAACAAGAGCTGAGGGAGAATGGTTATCTTTTGATGTAACTGAGGCTGTACATGAGTGGCTCCACCACAAAGGTGATAGTAATTAATTATGTTAGAGTTAACCTGTATTAAATTTGAACAGTTTGAAGTCTTGCCTGACCTGATATAAAGCAAATTTTCTTTCTCTTATATTTTGCAGACAGAAATTTGGGGCTTAAGATCAGTTTACATTGCCCATGTTGTACATTTGTGCCTTCAAATAACTATATTATCCCAAATAAAAGTGAAGAATTAGAGGCAAGATTTGCAGGTAATAACTAAATTTTTTAAAATAAAATAATTGTGTAATGAACGTGAAATGCTTCAACAGATATGTTACTTCTTTGTATAATTTTCTTGCTAGCTTCATTAGTACTCATGCAAATCTTTCTGCCTATGTGATCTTTGTGTATTCATCTTGCAACTTGCTTAGGGATTCATGATTTTGAGCATCCAGCCATAAACTCTTTATGTGCTAAGCACTGATGTTCAGTGAAACACACATTCAAAATATAAATGATTAATTTCAACCCTGGCCATTACCTTAATTGGTGACCTTAGATGCAGGGGTGGGATTCAAATTTTTTAACAACCGGTTTTGTGGGTGTGGCTTAGGTGGTGGGTGTGGCTTTGTGGTCATGTGACTGGGTGGATGTGGCTTGGTGGTCATGTTATTGGCTGGGTGTGGCCAACTCAATATCACTCACATTGAGGCATGCATCTCCTCACCTGGCCTCTCATGACTGTGGGGATGCTGCAACAGGAGTAAGTGTGAAAAATGGTCCTAAATCACTTTTTTCAGTACCTTTGTAACTTTGAATGGTCACTCCATGCAAGCAAAGCACCAGCAAAGGAAGGGAAAAAAACTCCAGAGAAGTTCCAGAGACAGGAAGTCTAGTCCTGCCAAGAATGTAATAAGGGTTAATGGAGAGGTAGTTCCTGTAAGCAACACCAGAATGTTTCCTTCCTGCCTTCCTTACAGGATTAGGCCAGTAATTTCTTCTAACAACCGGTTCTCTGAACTGCTTAGAATGTTAACAACTGGTTCTAGCGAATAAGTGCAAATTGTATCCAAAAGGTACATCCAAGCATATTAATCGAGTCTATATGGCAATGCAGGTAACTAGATTCACATGTTATCTGTGTTAACTACTTGTGTTATGGTTCCTGCTTCATTAAGGCTGATTCTCTAGCTCAGGGGTGTCAAACTGGGGCCCTGCGGGCTGAATACATCACCTGCAGGCCACGGTCACCCCAGCTCCACAAAGGCAGAAAATGTCATGATCCGTCATGATACATCATGTGACGCGATCAAGTTTGACACCTGTGCTCTATCTGCTTCTTTTAGATCTCCATCTCCATGGGTCTAAAATGACACACTATTGTTTATGTCCCTGCATTGAAAAGAATTGAATTGCTTGGGATTAAATAAATATTATATTGATATTTATAATAATTGTGGGATAAGGAAACCTATAACCAATCCTATGACTAATAATTGATATAAATGAAGCAAGTGTTCCTGATCTCAAATGGTGCAGAGGTAATAAGAATATAGGATATTTAATTCAATGCAGGTCCCTGCTTCCCATATTCATGTATCAGCATGTCTTAAATCAGCCCAGCTGATGCCAGCACACCTGATTATTATTCTGTGATTTAAATTTCTTGTGAAGAGATACTTTATGTAATTTTGTATCAAAAAAAAGCAACACAATATTTATTACCAAAATGTATTTTTTAAAGGTATTGATGACCACCCTTATTCCAGTGGTGAGAAAGCTTTAAAGTCCAGTAGGAAAAAATACAGTGGGAAGAGCCCACATCTTCTGCTAATGTTATTACCCTCCTACAGACTTGAGTCGCAACAATCCAGTCGGCGGAAGAAGCGTGCTTTAGATGCTGCCTATTGTTTTAGGTAACTATTAAAAGATGTTATGGGGTTTTATGCATGTGATAAAATATTAATGTAGCCCATTTTTTTAAAAAAAATATGCTTTTTATTTATAATTTTAACAGCATTCTATTGAAAGGGATATATGTCACTTCCCACTCCACCCCTCCCACATAGTTATGGGTAAAAGTTTGTATTTCTCTAGATTTGCTCCTCAAAGTCTTGAAGGGCTACAGCTGCTGAAGGACTTGGGTGGCTACTTTGATGAAGACACTTTCTCCAGGATAGTTGGCAAAGGAACCATTGAGCAGCTGCTTCATAAGTTCAACAATCAGATCAAGAATTGGTGGGGGGCGGGGGAGGACGGGAGGAACTTCATACACATCAGATTATATATTCAAACCAAAATCTCATTTGTTCATTTCTGGCAATCTATACTAACTGCATTTTTACTGAAGAATAACATTTGCTTTTATTTGCACCTATTTGCACTAGTTAAAAAATCCCTGGGACATTTTGGCTGTTAAAAAAGTAGTCTATCTCCAATCTGAAAAATGAAACAAATAGAATCATTATTCTCTAGTTTTATGTCTCAAATGTATAAAACAAGAGCATATGCTCTTCATGTAGTAATTGAGCAGCTGTTAATGTAGTGCCAGGAATCATAAAATGTGGCTGAAAGTGCTTGGAACCAGTTAGGGTCTGAATAAGGAGTAATTGAGGCTCAGTTGCATCAAGAGACAGTGGCTTTTCAAAGCCTTCTTATAGCAAAATATTCCATTTTTGACACTGGGAAGGATTGCTTTTTCATGTGCAAAACTGGCTTGTAATAGGGAGATTCTCCTGGACTTACAACTCCAGGAAAAGAATTAGGTGGCAACAGTGGCTAGGAAGGCTTTTCTATCATCCCATCTTGTGCATTAATTGTGACCTTTCCTGGTTCAGGAATGCTTTGCTCACCTGTCATTCTGATTATTGCATTGGAATATTTGAAGACCTAGAAACTGGTCCAGAAAACAGAGCTTGTGGAAATCAGTTAATTTGTCCACATATCACAAATACTTCAAAGTTATCAATTGGCTTCCAGCTGCAATTTATGGTACTATTCTTCTCCTTTAAAGGCATATGTGGCCAGTCCTAGATATCTGGAGGACCAAAACAATTTTGGTAGTTGCTGCTTGTATAATAAGATCTAGAAGAGAAGGCTTCCTCTAGATCGGGGTCCCCCAACTCCCGGGCCTTGAGCTGTTTCAAACTGGGCTGTGGACGTGGTGGGCAAGCATGCCCGCCTGGGCATCCCCGCTTGTGCAAGCATCAGGCAAGTACATGCTCGCACGCTCCATTTGTGTGAGCGGCAGGCACCGTGTGTAACCACCACCACCCCCACTAATCTACAATGCTGGAAAGATTGTTCTGCTCTAGATCCCTATCCACAGGAAATATCACTTGCGGGAGCCACCAAGCTGCACTTTCTGGATCATTGCCCTCTTTCTTTGGAACACCATTTTCCCCTGAGATGAAGTTGGCCACAATTCCTTGGGTTCTTTTAAAATTAAGAAAAAAAATGGCTTTTTGGCAAGCCCTTCAGGTTTGTTCATTCTTGTTGTAGGGATGCTCTTATAGTTGTTAGGTCATTGCTTATTTCTTAATCAAGAAGCAAGTGATTATATTGATTATATGATTATATTTTATGGCTATATTTTGTTTTAATCCCATTACTTAAATTATGAATTAATTTATTTGTTTATTTACTCATTAAGAAAATATATATGACTGTTCAACTCATGATAACTCTAGGCAACTTAGAAAATTAAAAACCCAAATATAAAAACCAATAAAGCCCCATCTTCATGGCAACAATAAACAGACAATACGAATGTAAAATGCTCAAAAATTTGTTGTTACTGGAACAGCCTAAATGCCAAGTTAAAGGAAGATTCCTCTGCTCCTCCTCACCTACACGCATAGCATAACTAAGAGCATCCATCTAGGGATAATTTTTTCATTTGCTAATTTATTTATATGGATGCAATTGTAAAAATAGATTTTAACAGGTGACAGCATTAGGTTGATCTTATCTGGGTTCGGAAGATAAATAGGCACCTTTCTGAATATAGCCTTCTAAAGAATACCAGCACAATAGGAGGTCAGATTGGGAAGCTATGGTATGGCATGATAAACACCTTCTGTTCCCAAGAAAATTGCATGGATATATTCATGCAAAAATCACACTCAACTCAAAATAATATATATTAGGTCTAGCAAGTTGAGAATGTGTTGGGTCCCATCAGTCAAGAAGTGTTGATTGGACAGGACCAGGAGATGTGGCTTTTCTATGATAGCCCGTACCTCTGGAATATTTTCTCCTCACAGATTAGGATGATCCCAAACCTGTTGGCTTTTTGTAAGGCCATGAAGACCTGATAATTTACCTTACACACACACACACACACACACACCTACCTCTAGTGTGTGAAGGACCCCTTTTCTTGGCTATATTAATATGCATGACAATAGTTTTATTGTAAAGACAGAAAGAGTATTGTTTTAATGTTGTTATGATATAAGCTTCCCAGAATAACTTGTTCATCTGGGTAACTACAGAAATTAAACAAATGATACATCTTAGTACAAGTTGTACATCTGCTGAATCTGCCTTTTGGTGCTGATTGTTAAGGAACAACTTCAAAGTCCCTGCTGCTATCATCCCTTCACTTTCAGTTAGAGCTGGTTTAGTCCATTGTTCAAAGAAATTGTTCCTTGAAAAACAGACTGCCTGACAACAGAGGACCCATATTTTTCCCATGAATGGCTAAGGCATCATCCCAATTTTGCTCCTGAAAATAGGTTGGAAACAGTGGTGGGTTGTAACTGGTTTAACAACCAGTTCTGTGAGTATGTGCTTTGCGCACATACATGTGCTATGAGCATGCATACAGCATTAAAAAATCACCAATTTGAAGTAGAACAGCTGAGGCATGCAAAATCCACTCTGCCACGAGAATCAGTTGAACTGAAAAAGATGGAAATATAGGACAGATAGGGCAGGGCCAGCTGATCATCGGAACAATCAGTTCACAAGAACCAGTCCGAACTGGCAGCAATTCACCACTGGTTGCAGGTGTTCTTCTAGCTACAGTAATGAGAACAAGATCCATCTCTTCAAAGACCCTAGTAGTCACCAGGATCAATTTTTATTCTATTTTCCTCTAGCTTATAATACATATTTGATATCCATTCTTCTAAACAGGCACAGAGAAACCTAAAAATATAATTTACTTAAGGATACAAATAAAAATCTATAGCTAGTATTAGAGATGAATGTGAGAATAATATCTAGTTATGACTGATTGCATATACAAAATTATTAGATATAAACAGAAACTTGAAATGTCTGCAAAAAATCCTAACAATCCATAACATACGCAAAGCCTTTATTAGTTCAGGTGAAACAACCACTCTTATGCGTTTTTACCTTCCAAAGTCCTAGCTGGAAAGAAGCAGATTACAGTTTTTAAATTTGATGTTATCTTTTTCATTATATCATATTATATTTTAGGCCCTCTGATCCCCAAACAATAAAAACAAAACAAAGTGAGACACAAAGAGATACACATGAGAAGTGAAAAAATAATCTTTCCTGAATAAATTTGCCCATGAAGTGTCAATCATGTGCTATTTTAATGCATCCTTTCAAAAACCCTGAATTTAATTATATAATTATGTAATTACAATATGATGCTTAACATTTCATTTATTAATTCCTTCATATGCATTAATATTTGTACATTGTGAACTTGGAGTGGCACAAAGTATGAAAATATAGTATATTAAATTTCACAATATGTGTGTTTGTGTTTCTATGTGTAAACTCAAAGATTTCTGCCTACTACAATCTGACAGATTGAGAATTAGAGAAAAAGAGTAATTTAATGTGCCTTTTTAAAAATGGCCATTCTGGAGGTGGGAGAACTTGATTAAAGAATTGTTTTTTTTTTCCTGTGCCATAATCTTGACCCCCCATCATAAGCCCCATTTTTTAAAACTGAATTTTGCATGAACTACTCTTCTGTCCATCCAGTTTTATGATGGAAAATTCTTAAGAGAGAGTCCTATGCCTAGCCTCAGGTTTATTTCTGACAAGCTGGAAAGTAGATCTTATTAACAAGACAGTTCTGAAAGCGTGATCTAAAAATATCAGTAAACTGTGGATTTCATAAAATTCACCCACAGAAGAGGCTGTTTGTTGCATTTCTGAATGATTCATTATATTAAGGAATCTGCACTGCATAAGAGTATTCCGACTGGCAAAAGCTTATTAACTATCTTGTCTATAACTCCATTTACAGGAATGTGCAAGATAACTGCTGTCTACGTCCATTTTATATTGATTTCAAGAGAGATCTTGGATGGAAATGGATACATGAACCTAAAGGATATCATGCAAATTTCTGTGCCGGAGCTTGTCCCTATTTATGGAGCTCAGATACTCAGCACAGTAGAGTAAGTATTTTAGAAAACTAAGTAATATTAGCGCTATAAAGCAGAACAAAACCTAGTTCGTCAGTTTAAAATGTGTTTTTAATTAATTTAATTGATAGATCATACCATGGTAACACATCATTTACCCAACTTTTTTTTTAAAAAAATCTGATTATTATGGCATATACTGTTGACAGAAATTGAAGGAAAGGGTAAGAGCATTTTAAAAGCAGAAAAACTGTACTTCATATCCAGATTGAGTATGTAAACAAACTCAAGAGGAATCAAAGGATGATTTTGCAGCAAAAGCAATCCTTGTATTGAGGAAAACATTGGAACATTTTATTTTAAGTTCCACTTTGATTTTTCATGCTCAATGATGTTGGGGTCACAATCCTGTTCAGCCATTACCACTATATTTTTCTCAGAAAAGCTATGTTATACCTACCAGTTCTGCCTCAGTGATCCTGTGAGCTATTACCTTTGTTGGAAAATACTGATAAATCTTCCTGCTGAATGTGCAGAATTCAGTGTGAACAGTGTTTCAGAACAGATGGGAGATTAGCACTCTGTTCAGCTTCATGTTCTGTTCTTCTTTCTTCAGACTATTCAGTATGCAAAAAATTTACTCTTGATCCAAGCCCTGTGGTTACTGTACTGTATATTTTGAAGCTGAGATGTTTCCTCTATTTTTTCCACCTTTTTAGGGGTATTATCTTGTTAGAATAAGCAATTTTCCTTTCACTGTGGGAAAACATATTTAAAAGTACTATGTGGAGTTTCCACCGACTGAATGATCCTATTAAGTCACCAAGACCAGTTTTGTCCACTCTATGATTTCTTGTGATTTCATTTCTTTGATTCCTTTTCTACGAAATCTCCTATATCTGTAACATCAGTCACTTTTTGCCCTACACTCTTCTTCCAAAGCATTTCCAATGTACCCACTCACCCTCCCTTTCCTATCTTTTATTCTGCAAAAACTAAAAATTCATCAAGTCCTGCTTTTAAAAGATCTTGGCAATGACCCTTTTATGTTGCTAAGAGTCTGCACAGCCTGTTGCAATGTGCTGTTTCTTGTGATTGCATCGTTTGGATGAATACTGGGTCTTTAAGCAGTTCCGATTCATTTCAATGTGGCTTATAAAAAGAACATCTACTGTACGCGTCAGTACAAAAGTCACAGTTATGGCTGTGAATCCTAAGAAGGATGTATAAAAATGGCAGCCATATAAACATGTTTAAATTGGGGTCCATTCCATTCTACCATAGGATGAATACACTAATGGTAGAGTTGACTGTGACTCTTACATTTAAAGAAAACCTAAATTCAAAAGCTCAAGGTTGGATACATGCTCCACTCCTTTGGTACAAAGCACAGCTTTCTTATCTGGTGCTTTAAAAAAAAAAACCAATCAACTCCATGCAGCATCCTGCTGCCAAAAAAACAGTGTAAAGAAATATGAATCAGTGGTAAACACAGCGGTTAATAACTAGAGCACCTTCAATAATGGTGCTGATGCCTGACAGTAGAAATATGTGTTCAGATTATAAGTGAAAGGATTCTAACTTGCAATGTTTATAAAGGTGGGGGGGCTATATACTACATTTGTTTTTAGTTTAGTTTATTTATTTTCTAAAAAAATTTTTTAAACATTTTACCCTTCACCTAGAAGATTTTGAGATTTTTAAATATTTTACCCTTCACCTAAATAGAAACAATCCATTTATCTTGAGAAGATACGCTTTCAGAGATCAGTGGTGATAGAACAATACAGGTAGACCACAATTTATAACCACAATTGAGCCCAAAACTTCTGTTGTTAAGTGAGACATTTGTTTAGTGATTCCCCACCCTCCTCCAGTTTACATCATTTCCTGCCACAGTTGCTAAGTGAATCACTGTATTTGATAAATTAGTAACCTGGTTGTGAAGTGACTCTGATTTCCCCATTGACTTTGCTTGTCAGAAGGTTGCCAAAGGACCCTTCAACTGTCATGAGTATAAACCAGTTGCTAAGCACCTGAATTTTGATCACATACATGAGCATGGGGATGCTGTAAAGGTCATAACTGTGAAACACAGTCATATGTTACTTTTTTTCAGTGCTGTTGTAACTTTGAACAGTCTTTTCTAAATGTAGAAAAGTTAGTAAGTGGAGAACTACCTATAGTGGAAAAGGGCTAGAGTTACTATGTTCTGCTAATGATTTGATTGGTTATTCTGGAAAGATGATGTTGGACTGAAAGTTAAAATATGTGGAACTAAGAAGCTGTCAGCAATAGGTCAGGTGAGGCCAGCCCTGACTCTTGGTGTGTGTGTGTGTGTGTGTGTATGATGGCAACAAGCAAAAAGCTAATGAGGCACTTTATTTCTCTCCCTTACTGTTTTTAACAGTTATTTTACATAATTTTATCAACTGCTCCCTCAAAATAAGCCAAAGAATGATAGGCAATTTTCAACTCTATCCCCTCTTGTGAAGCCTAGGGTCTTGAGAAAACCTTTCATTTTAAAAAATATTCAGTATTTTCACTGGTGTCTCTTTTTTTAATCAACAGCTGTTTCATAAAAAAAAAAAGTAATTCACTGCTGTGAAAATTCTCTACTGTTTGGATGTTTTACATATCTGTGTTTTTATTGATTCCAGCTGTCTAGGCTTCTACAGAGAAAAAGAATTTGGACATAATTACTTTAAATGAATAAATTGTCACCATGTCAATGGTGCCATCAGAGCCCTAGGCTCCTTGTTATCCAAAGTTATTTGCCACCGTAATAAGCAGAATGTGAAGAAGTATCTTCTTTTTTTTCCCTTTTCCTCCTAGGTGCTTAGCTTGTATAACTCAATCAACCCAGAAGCATCTGCATCTCCATGCTGTGTATCCCAGGATCTGGAACCCCTCACTATCTTGTATTACATTGGCAAAACACCCAAAATTGAACAGCTGTCAAACATGATTGTAAAGTCTTGCAAATGCAGCTAAAGGAGCATAGTTTGGAATATGTATATTTTTTTCCCCTCTGGAAAGAAAGGAAGAAAAAAAACATTCAAAAAGAAGGAAACAAAAAAATACATCATCTGTGGCTTTTAAAAAGAAAAAGAAAAGAAAAAAACAAAACGGTACTAGTCTGACTGGATTGAAACTTGGTTTCATTGTTTCATGTTTTGTTTTTAAACAGTCATCTGATGCAAAACCATGAAGATAGGCATGAAGCATTTTTAGGAAAGCAGAAATACTAACAAGAAAGAACAAAAAGAAAGAAAACCTTTTTAAAAAAATAAACACTGGAAGAATTTGTGAAAGGAAAAAAACAGGAAAAACACATTAAGTGGAGTTGCTGTATCTATCCCGTGGCTTACTTGATTTTTATATTGTTATGCCATAAATGCCCTATCTGTTCCTTGTAGTTTTTAGAATTAACAGTGCATTATTTATTTTTGTGTAATGCGATCAAACAAGACTATATATTGCCCTAGGCCCTAGGGGTTGTGGGGACAGACTAGAAAGACACAAATGTTCAGACCAAACAAACAACTAAACATGTGTTTAATACCCGGGGAACATGAACTCATAAATATCCTGAAAACAATAATTAGTTTAACCCAATTAAAACAGAACTGTTATTACATCATTAAGAAAGCTATAAAAAAAAAAGCCACACATACACCTTGTTCTCTTGCAGAACGCCTAAGAGGGCTTCTGTGTAAAGCCTCATACCATTGTTGTAATAGAGGTTATTAATAAAGGACATTTTGTTTTCGTCTCAAAGACAAACCTATTAAGATTAAAACAACAACTGTAAATGAAAACTGTCAATTTAGTAAGCCAGTGAAATATTTAACATGTATTGGTCTCATCTTCAGACCCTAATACGTTGCTGTATAGCTATGCTTTGAGATTGTTTTTGATATATGTAACCACACCTATGATATTAAAATAGGGTGGATAGTAAGAAGCCAGCTAAATTGGAAACATATCTGTAGATCTCTATTGTAAACTATTAAAAAAATAAGTACTTTATGTGTAATGTGTAAATTTTCACCATATTTTTGTATACTGTTAATACTGTCAACTCTGAAGAATTTGAATTTGGGGGCTCTTGTTGATTACTCAGAATCATGTGCTTCCCTCGAGCTGGCCAGTATAGGTAGAGTCCCCTGTACTTTTAACTTGCACTACAAATACATGTTTTATAATATTTGCTATACATGCGTTTTGTATGTTGTTTTTCATCTCTATGATACAAGCTACTTTTTTTTTCTCCTTTCGGTCTGTATATAGACAGAGGGATAGATTTAAATATTGTTTTGTATAAAATGTATGTATCTTCAAACATCTTAAAATTTTAAACTTCACATACACACACATTTCTGAAGATGGGTGATGGGACTGGAGTCTGCCTTTGATTGCCTTGTTTTGATCACAGGCAATTAGTCCAAAGACAAGATCTGCCAGATCAAAAGGCAGAAGTTAACTTGGCAATTGTGGTGGGCCTGTGCATCGCCCGAGAAATCTGCAAAAGCTGGTTGCATGTGCAACTTCACTCCTTTCCTGGGCACAGTAGACGCCCAGTTGGGGGCTCCTTTCATTTCCCCATTAAGTTGCCCAACAAAGTGATACCTAGTTATCTACTTGCAGTTGGTCATTTTTGAACTGCTGGGTGTTGGCAGGAACTGGAGCATGTGACAGGAATTTGCCTTGTCCCGTGGCAGTAACTGGGTTTTGATCACGAGCCTACAGACTATCAGCCCAGAGTCCTAACCTGGTGAACCACCATGCTCCTTCATTAATTACTTAAAAGGGTACTGTAATAGGTCCAGTTAAATTCCAAATTAAAGAAAGGAAGGACCTATGCACTATCTGTATTCCAACATAGTAGACACCAAGAAAATGGTATCAATGACCAGATTTTTGGTACAGTGGGACAGATAGAAAGCAACTGAGTGTGGTCTTTCTTCTCAACAAAACCCAGGGTTTGGGAATATAGGGATTTATTAAAGCTTACGGGTGATCTTTCTAAGCTGGACCAAACTTTTAAAGCTGTACATGCACTGCTTATTTATATATAAAGATATACAATGAAAAAACTTGCTTCTCAACATGTGCCCCCCATAATTTGATTTGAGCATTCTGGAAGTCATAGTATGGTGAAGAAAATCATGTTTTATACTGATTCAGTCAAGAAATATTAGTTTTTGATGATTGAAGGTTTATTTTTCCCCAGAAGTATTAAGATTGGAACAGGAACACAAGGTATCAGGTGTATTGATTTTTACACCAAGATAAACAGTCCCCAGTTACTTTTCTTGAATATTGTACCTTAATACTACCAAAGTAATATTAGATGAAATCCTATCTATATTGAATACAAATAATTGTTACATAAATCATATCTAATTTATTCAAATTAGTTTTTTTCCAAACTGGTGACTTTAACTCTCAAAAATATCACTCACCATTAGCCAGTCCTTTAAGCTTTATTCAGCTGAATATTACTCCTTAGCAAAATATCCAGGATGTAGCCTAATTTGGATTAATCCTACCCCTGATTAAATCTAATCTAAATTGAATTGATTTAATTAGAATTCTCATTCAGAAAGAGGGGTAGTTATAGTAATATTTGAGGAATTCAAATCATTGCTAACAGGTTTTACTTACCTGGAATCAGTAAACTAATTAATTACAAAATCGTCTTTCTCAACCCATCAGCTTCACAATTGATCTATAAGATCAGGCATTATATTTGTATTGTTCTGATAACCTTTCAAAGCTATTTTCATTAAAAGAAATAAGCATCCACATGGACATCGCTGTCATACATTTTTAGATGTTCCTTGTATAAAAAAAGGTTGGTTAGTCATATTTTAATTTATTCTGCTTTAGTATGTATCAAGCATGTCAATTAAATGAAAATAAATATTACAAAATATAGGAGGAAGCATGATTTTGGTGTATATTTTATTTGGAAGTGGGGATCAGCAATACAGAAGTGATTTTAGGCTAAAATTGCCATTTAGCTATTTCTGTCCCACTCTGCTAAGAGAGCTTCAAGATAGTCTAGCAAAGAGATTTTGTAAATTAGTACATGAATTCAATTCCGATTGGGAACACATTTAAGACTAGCTCCTTATTTCCATTTTTTTTTTCAAATAACAGAGGCCAAACACCAATTAAGGAAAATATTTGTAGCTTAGTTGAAGTGAGGGGTCCTTCGAGCTCTCTGGAGAGACTTGGTTGTTTTCTTGCAGTCATTTCATTACCCTAACTAGGTAACATCATCAGTGCTAGAGGCCAGACATTTTAAAACAACACATGTTTTGGTCCAAAATAAGTTTTCATAGCACAGACAATTCTGATAAGGAGAACACACCAAACAAATTGAAACTCCTGTACATTAAACTACTGTGCTGTCTAATAACAGTGTCTTTTCTAATTGGCAGATAATTTTCTTTCTGTACATTATCTTTAAGCCATACAACTCAAAAGATGTATGGACCATTTGAATTCCCTTCAACTCTTAGTCAGGCGAGATGTTACAAAACAGGGAAAAGAATAGACTCAGGAATGTAAAAAACTAGGGCATATTGTTTCAGCTGTAAGGCCTTATTCCACAGGATATCCCAAGAACAGATCTGTACAGCATATGTGTTTTCAGGGGTTATTGAGTTCACTGTAATTTACTTCTAGATGCATATTTAGTACTGTACCCTAAAACAACTGCAAACAAATTCCACCACCATCATACTTAATTATAGCCAAGGACCAGGAAGAAAAGCAATAGCGTGCAGAGAAGAGCAACAAGGATGATTAGGGGACAAGGCTAAAACATGAAGTGTGGTTGCAGAAATTGGGTATGTCTAGTTTAATGAAAAGAAGAATTAAAGGTGATATGAGAACAGTATTCCAATATCTAAAGGGGCTGCCACAAAGAAGAGGAGGTCAACCTATCCTCCAAAGCACCTGAAAGCAAGAAGCAATGGGTGGATACCTGAAAGCAAGAAGCAATGGGTGGAAACTAATCAAAGAGAGAACCAATCAAGACCAAAGGATAAGATTTCCTGATAAGACAATCAGTGGGACAACTTGCCTCCAGAAATTGTGAGTGCTCCAATACTGGAGGTTTCTAGTATACGATTTCCTGCTTGGGCAAGGGGTTGGACTAGAATGTCTCATCCAACTCTGTTATTCTGTTACCCTGAAATAAATCATAGTTCTCTTTCTTATTAAAAAGCTGTCACCTCCATACACAGGGAACTCTTTTGACACTGTTAGAGCTTCTCCTAACAGTAATGTCCTAAATGTTTTCTTAGATGTCTTTTATTGATTGCAGTAGTTGTTATTTACTATATGTCTTACTCAATTTTCAACAGCGATATTGCCAAGGCAGTCTGATAATACAAAAAGTAAATTCCATACACTTAGCAATGGCAAATACCATAAAAGCTTTTCCAATAAAAAACAGAATAGAATAACAGAGTTGGAAGGGACCTTGGTAGTCTTCTAGTCCAACCCTCTGATAAGGCAGAAAACCCTATCCCATTTCAGATAAATGGTTATCCATCCAATCTCTTCTTAGAAACTTCCAGTGCTGGAGCATTTACAATTGCTGGAGGCAAGTTGTTCCACTGATTAATTGTTCTAAGTGTAGGGAAATTTCTCCTTGGTTCTAGGTTGCTTGCCTCCTTGATTAGTTTCTACCCATTGCTTCTTGTCCTGCTCTCAGGTGCTTTGCAGAATAGCTTGACTCCCTCTTCTTTGTGGCAGCCCCTGAGATATTGGAACACTATTATCATGTCACCCCTGGTCCTTCTTTTTATTAAACTAGACATACCCAATTCCAGCAACTATTCTTTATATGTTTTAGCCTCCAGTCTCCTAATCTTTGTTGCTGTTCTCTGCACTCTTTCTAGAGTTTCAACATCTTGTTTACATCATGGCAACCAAAACTGGATGCAGTATTCCAAGTGTGACCTTACTAAGCATTATTAAGTGGTATTAACACTTCATGTGATCTTGATTCTATCCCTCTGTTTATGCAGCCTCGAACTGTGTTGGCTGAACACAGATATGTTTTAAAACTCTTTTTTACATAATCCAAGTTGGAGCTAAGATGCTCTTCCTTGGGATGGAGTCTTCCCCACTCATGAAAA